TGACAGTAAATAATCACAAGGTAAAAGCTAACAGACAATTTCAACGTTGTTCCAAATGACTTGTTTCATGCAGACTTCTCACAGAGTCTCTTTGTGCCCAATGTTCCAACGTCGCAACAGAATATTTGTGAGAATAACACTTTATATATTCATAATCATACATGCTGTACCCAGAACACATCTTTTTGTTCACAAAAGATATTCTTCTTTAAAAATATTTTGAAAATTAAGTTGTAACGTAATTTTTTAAACTTTGCCAAACTGCCATTTCAGGGGTTTATGCATTATAGTATCGATGTGAGTTACAATATTATGCTACAGCACGTTATGTAAATTCATCTCGGAATAATTTAAAATTCCGTATCATGACCCGTTTCCCTCGTATCATCTCATTCTGTTGTGTCTTCCTAATGATTACATATGATGTCTCATCATGTTTTCAGGAGTTGCATGTCTTTACAATTTTCAGGTTTTTTTTTAATATGAACAATATTGGCCCGAAAGATTCTAGTAGTGCAGAAAAGCAAAATTTCCAAGGGAGCAAATCTTGATGTAAACCGTAACCTCATCTACATATTTATGTGTCTATTATACGTCCACAAATAACTAATTAAGTACCGGTAATTAAGTAGCCATCTAACTGTATCAGTAGTACAGTGTATTTAGTTAAAATTAAATGTGCATTTAACTGTTAAAAAAATTCTGTAGGCTTTTATTTTCTCTTTAGAAGTTCACCAAATACCTACACTAAGTGATCAGATTCCACTTTATATCTTTTAGCGTATTTGCGTTGGACCCATCATTAATTTCCGCCTTCGTTTTCCACGTGGTCTCTACGAAATCTTGTGCATTTTTGTTTTTTCCACACGATGCCTTATATGAACGAAAGCATATAAATTTTCTCTGACAAATTTCTCTACGGGGTCAATCGTAGGAATGTCGAGTCTCAGTTGCGTCTGTGGTGGTCTCATAATTTGGGTCCATTTATTTGCGTGTTGCAGCACAGTTTAGCGTGACCGTCTGGAGGGAGAGAGCGAGATATCGGCTGAACACCGTCAAGATATGCAAATATTCTAGCACGTCGCTGGTGTGGGACTGCCTATATTCCCCTCGGCCTCGTGGTCTGTTTCTTTTTCCTTTCTTAGTTTTCAGTAACAACTGATTTTTCATATTAAGACAGTCTTGTGAGCTCAGGTAGCTGGGTCACTGACTGGCTAGGACGAGGATTCTATTCCCTGAATGACCAGGCAGAATCTCTTTCCCAACAGACGTATACTTGCTCTGGGATCTAACCAGCCTCCGAAACTTGAAGCTGACCACTCATACTAATATAGTTTCGAGGTCAAGAATACGTGGAGCTTTATCTTAAGTCATCCATTAATTCTTATGGCGATTTGTTTAATCAGAGAAAAGACTTTACATTTTGTATGACAACTATCTGGAAAAATCTTAAAAAAATTAAACAGAATTGAATGTGATACTAAAATATTTCTGTTATTCTTGTTGACGGTATAGAAGTCTTGGTCTCGTATTTCTATTTCTGAATTATCATCTTCATGTTTTTACGGTTAACTTTTTTCGCCTAAAGCAGTATATATTGTTAACATCGAAACGAAGTTTGTCTAACTTAACTTCTGAACTCGTAAATATTATTGAAGTAGCGAAGTAAATTAAGTGTGAGAAGGAAATTGTATGTGAACATAAACACACCAACACCGTCCCTAAGGAAACTGCTGCGTGTAGAAACACACCATTGGTTCGCGTGTGCCGTATTACATTACTCGAATATTTAAAACGCAGGCAAATTATTCTAATTCAGAATGACGTCACATAGGAAACATTATCTGGTTCGCTGAGTATATTGGCCTCTTGTGTCTTATATTATGAATCTAACATATCTTGCAATGTTAATATAACTTCCCAGGAGACAGTCTTGAATGTACTTTGACACGATATTCTGTATCAATCATTTATTTCTGTTGTATCATAACCAAGGTCGTCTTTCCTGTTTAAAAATGAAAACCTATATACGCGTCAGGAAACTGTTTTAATGTTTCAGTAATCTTTTCTTATTCATGCCTATGATATTGAATTCTAGATGATGTCTGGTGATTTATAATCTGTAAGAGTGGTATTTTGAACTTTGTCCATCGTCTATATTTCAATACAATTTCATCGTTTCTGAAGCTGGATCTTCTTCTGTCTTCAATTAAAAAGGGGAAAGGTCAAATACACTAATTGCTGGGCCCTCTTGTTGAGCTAGCCTCAGACCTGGACAACTTCAACGTAGTAGTACCGGGAGAAGAAATGGCGGACAACGACAATCATCTGCGAGAGATGAACATCCAGCTTCCGAAACGCTTTAATTTTTTTAAATATAAGCGATGGGAAAAGTCTGAAATACCACGTTGCTTCCATCATCAATCACCCTGATGATGGAGGCAGCAAGGACCTATGAAACGTCGGTAAACTTCTACCAGAATACACGGCACAACAACGTCTTGAACCGGCTGATTTTCATAAAGACGAACATGAATGGCATGTATTACAGATCACCCTGTCATCATAATTCTCTCTCATTTACTTTCGTATTACCTTTATCAGAAAAAGTAGCCGAGCGGGAATTTGAAATCGATACTAGCGTTCTGAAAATGTCTAATAACGCAACTTGAGTACAAGTAACTAGTGTTAATGTTGTTTTTGTGCTAAGGTGAAAATAATATCGTAGATGCCACGCGAAATGTGTAATTAATCTAAGCTTACGAATCAGGAGAAGCGTAGGCGAAACAGATCGTTACATGTTTGGAAGTGCTGTACATTAAATCATGTCACAATAAGTGATCCAGGAACTCATAATTCAACAATTACGAGAACTGTTTATTTGTTCGAATCAAGGCCGTGAGATCTATTTCTTTTCTGCCGTAGATTTCCCGGAGATACTAAATTATTTTTACGACTTTTCGTAAAATGAATTTTGCTTGATTGATTTTTATATGTCACGTTATTTTTATTTTGCGTGTGTTGGAAAACGATCTATTACAGCGCAATGAATTGGGCTTTCATGAAATGTTACTAGAATCTTTTACTGTTCTTGAAAGATAAGACGAATTACAAGCTGTAAGACATAATTGTAATAAATGTCAATAAATTTACCAAACTTAAAAAAGTATATTGTGCTCTGATGTAGGTCTAAGCGTACTTTGCTTACACGAAGCAACCTTATCATTTCCAAGAGATCTGGTCAGTACACAAAAATATATTAACTGGACTACGTGCAGTAAACTTTACGTAGGACTACACAAGTTCTAAATCTGTAACACCTGTATTTAAAAATAAAAGAACTAATACGTATCACAAAATCAAATTGATTTAATTACTTTTTCTGTTTTTTAGTTTAACCCAAGCTTTATTTAAAGGTTTATTAAATTAAGTACTGACGGACTTTACTGTTGCGTGTTCTATAAATTGACACTTTGTTTGGCAATGGAGAATCTAACATATCACATTTACATTGTTCCATAGGAAACAATTCATAGGAATTGCACTGTAAAACAGTTGAAGTAATGGAAATGGAACAATTCCATTCAGGGACTTTTTTTTTTAGAAATTATCCATTTGAATGAAACCACAAAACTGAGAAAGTATATTGGAGGACGAGCTGATTTGGATAAATAACCAGGACATATTTTCGTTAATGATGATTTTATGTGTTTCTTTGTCCGTCTTTGCCTGCAGCTGTTTCGCCTCTAGGCACCAGAAAGGCTGTGGTTTAATGCACGCGACGTACTTGATATTTACAGTGCATTTACTGATAAAGTTGAAAGCAACTGTCACTTCCCGGCTACCGGAAGGAACTGTCATAAGAAATATAAATCGATTTTATTGTCTTTATGGAGCGATGCTTTGACTTGCTTAGGGAAAACCTTATAGCGTTTGACGGTGAGTCATGTAGTTCCAGCAGGGAGCTGGGAAGCAACAGTTGGCGTTCAACTTTAATAGTTATTATTATTAAGTGTTCTGTCTTACGACAGGTCCATTGCTCTGCCCAAAAAGAGCTCTCCAGTTGTCCCTATTCTCGGCTTCTCGCTTTAATTCCTGGAACGTCATCTTCTTTCCTTGTTTAAGGTCGTCGGTTAGCTGTATCAATCTTCTTCCTAGTCCTCTCTTTCCTTCAACCTGGCCTTAGGTACTAATAGTTGCAGATTTTAGTAACTGCTGCACAAAATATCGGAATTGGATGGTAACTGAATTCTCATTGCCAGAAGGTCTTCGTTGCAAGTATTTGTTTTATCTGGTTACAACAGTGTTGAGGTGAAAGTTTTCCGGTGACAGGTCTTGATAGTTGGTTCATCGTCTTCACCGTCTACGTCCAGACATTCTCTCATCCTCATCCATAAAGCCGGTGGGTTTGACTCGTGTATTTCTCTGAAACTGCCATCCCCTGTGTACTCGGAGGAGTCATTGACTGAATTATCTGCCACACGTCCCCAAGTCCGGAGTCAACCAGTTGGCTGGTCACGGCTGATGAAACTAATCTTTTTGCACGCCCGTTAGCTACCTGCGCGTTTGACACTTACAGCCTCCTGTCACACTTAGCCAAAAGTTGTTATAACAGCTCTCGCTGCACTGAAGCCGCTTCTCGTACGCGAGATCTCGCTACCCCCACTCAGGCCCAATTAAGCTGAGACTTTCTTTCCAAACAGAATTTTACTTCGTGCATTCTGTTACGTGCCGAGTAAGCAGGCTTAATACATATGACACGATCCTGAGCTGGTGACACCCATCTCCAATCCTCACAACCTACTTTCCTAAGATTAATGTTAACATTATCAGTTACTTGGGAAAGTATCGGTTTTTTCAAAGAAGTTCCTGTAGCATTAGTTTTGTCTTTGATCCTGCATTATCGACGCCTCTTTAAGGAAATAGCCATTACCGGCCCTTGTATATACGATAGAAGCTATGAGCTTTTTCTTATGAGGTCGGGGGCGAGAGACGAAGAATGATAATTATCTGAACATGCGAGAATTCATGCGTGACGTTAGCCATGTATATCGATTAATATCGACCTCGGACTAAAACTTGTTCATATGATATTTTCGTTATTGGTTTAGTGAAAGTGTAGTTTAGTTTTGTGAACACAAATAACTCACCATCGTTAAAAAAAGTACGAAGATAACATTAAATTTGTATTAAAGCATGAGTATAGCACACATTTACAACACGGTCTCTTCGTTATCATGTCCGATCAGGGATTTATACTGTGAAGGATCATATTGTAACGTCAGATTTGTTGTTATCTTTTTCCATACAACACGCAAGTTGAAACCCCATTTGTATTAGTTAGTGACATTGAGATTGATTTTAATAAACTGAGTACCATATACAACACTATCCTTAACGGCGAGGCGAGCGGGTCGGACGCCACTGGTCCCCTACTTCGGGGGATCCAGCCCATCGACATAGGACTTATGAAATATTTTGTGTACAACGACACCTTAAGCTCCCAAGACGTAAAATGGAACATACAACATTTTAAAGTACATTGATGTCATGGTAATTCCAGAACAAAGGTGAACTTTCTTTTGCCTGAATACATTTTAAGGAGGAGCTCACATAGACTGTTTAGCACCCGATCCTGCACCCCTCTAGGGACGGCTTTGACCACACAATTTCATGATAAACGCGTAAGAGTCGAAACCTCTCAGTAAAATATAAAGTTGATGTAGCGAAACACTTTCTCTCAAAAATGGATTGTAACCTTCATATCTTGATTTTTCAAGGTAAATTTTAATATTTAAGGTAGATGGAACTGAATAAAAAGTTCATTGGGTATTTTGCATCGTCTAGTAAAATATCCAAGGAACTTTTTATTCAAATAACTCACCATCGTTACGAACTTTTAGATTTGATATAGATGGAACTGGTTCAGGGTTGTTTCCAGTTTATTTGTGTTTACGGTAATGATCTTTGGGTTCTGCTACCAATTAATTAAAACATGACTACTTAACGATCTGCTTATGTTCCTGGGAGAGACTAAGGGGGGATATAGTTCCCTCATTAATGTACTCTGCAGTTGAGATGTTTACAAAACAGTTTCCTGATGTCTAAGCCTACAAGTCAACTTCTTATCACTTCTTATTTACAATTCCACTTCAAGGCTTCTGTGTTCAGCGTTCATTACTCCTAATTAATGTTGACCAGATAATATCAGATCTTTAAAATTCTCAATAATGACTTCATGAAATTTAGAATAGCTTTGAACTAATGGACTGGAATAAGCCTTTGGTTATTAATAAAATAACTGAGTTGCAGACACGTCAAACGAATACACTTTAAACCGGCGTAGTCATCCTGGCAAGTTGTTATCGATTAGCAGTTAACTCTATTCTCAGGGGTAGAATGCGACGCCATGATTTTTATTTTATGTCTAACAGACTTGTCTCGAAAAGTGAAACATTGTCCTATTTACCGGTTGCCGAGATGTGGAATTTGCATTTTTACGTTGCGAATAAATAATTATAACTTACTATTTGTGTTCAAACGAGTAGATTGGGCAAGTATGGGGAATTTATTTGAAGACATGAGGGAAATAATATAATTTTATCATTGGTATACATCAGTTCTAAGGTAGTTAGATATAGTCTATAGGATTGTAATACTTGTTCTTCATATGTTTATATAAGAAAATTCATTCTATGTAGATGAGGCATTAGATTTCTCCGAAACGGTGGCACATTATAGGAAGATACCTTCTAAGTTTTCACTGCCGTCAAAACAACAAATGTTGCGTTGATGAAATGATTCTGAAGGTTAAGTAAAGTAAAGTAAAGTTGTCCCACTATAAGCCATGTAGGCGTTTGGAGTATAGGTATAGCTCCTACTCAATCTTGACCTCGGCACTAGATGGGGGTGAGTGGTCAGCATCACGCCCCGGCCGGCTTTACCCCCGGGAAAGGACCCCGGTACCCATTGGATAGGAGGCTGGGTGGGCTCCAGAGCCGGTCTGGACGCAGAGGCTAGAGGAAAAATCCTCTGCCCCCGTCGGAGATCGAACCCCGGTCGCCCAGTCCGTAGCCAGTCACTATACTGACTGAGCTAAGTCGGTTCCTTGATTCTGAAGGTTACGAATACTTAATGGATGCCACAAGAGTGCGTAATTATTTATTTTTGTCATGGGCCAGTTTGCAGTCTCCCCATTGTCGATTTGTATCAGCATTTGTAAGCCCACTTTTAGTCATGTAAAAACTGCTTAATGTCTGTTATTATGCTGGAATTCAGATCCGTCTTATTTGTTTCTCTAGCTTTTACGGTAAGATTATAATGAAATACTTTGTTATGGAATACAGACAAAAAAGTACACTTATAGAACAAAAAGAGCGTGATAGATTACTAAAATCTATGAAACTTTATATCTCGCTTATTTAGAATCATTTTATTTCCAGCAGTATTCAGAAGAAAATGAAACTTGTGTCTAAGATCACAAGGCTGAAAGAAAGACGCATGACTTCCTTAATTGATCATTCTTTTATTTGTGTCGATAGTACAAGGCTTATCAATTGTTCACGAATCGTCTTCCTTCCAATAATTCAGACAACGCCCGTTTACCACACTGACTGTCTGTAATTATTTTTGTTTGTCATGGAATAAAGGTTTGCCTCCAGCACATTGATTGATACGTTTGTTGGCTTAATTCGAAAGTAACACGCAATTTTATTGTCGCAATAAAGACCTTAATGTAAGCGAACATATAAAGGTAAAGGCCATAGGGGAGAACCTAAACAACATGTGTAATGATCATTGGTCTTCAGTTTTATAAATGTTGAAATATATGTTACATTATAGACGTTGGTTATATTTACTGAAGAAAGAAACTTTAAAACTCACTCACAAACTTACATTAAACTAAAATAATTTAGTTTTGATTCGTAGTTCACCTGTACTTTCTGTTGAGACGTACTCCTATAAAAGTACGAGGAAATTGAAAGCGAAACACTTAAAATGATTTCATTATCATGAATTTGCACCTAATTTGTTGCATTGATTTTAGTAAAAGGCCTACTACACATCTACTCACTGTGGATATAAATTAAGAGTTGGAGCAAAATAGTTAAGCAGGTAGTGTATTGACTACCTTTTTCCATACGGGATTTAAAAATGTTATTTACAAACGTTCTAATATCTTTTGTGCTCACAGACTAAACACTACCATCCTTGAAGCGCAATGCAGTTCGTTCGGAGGTGAGGACAATTTCATATCCCCAATAAACATTGACCCTGTTAGCCATTGGTCCTTGGTTTATTTAATAGCGATTTATTGGCTTTATTCTATCTCCTCTGTGTTTCTCCTGTCTCCAATATTTGTTGCAGTTGATCATACTTTTACGTGATTATCAATCTTCCAAGACTATTGAACTCAGAGACAGCAAATATAGAGGTGTTTGCTATGTACGTACAATTAAAACTGGACCGTGTTCTTAGAAGGGCCCTGTAGATTGTGTAAACTATAAAGAAAATTGTTTCAACATGTTGAGTGTAACTTACGGCATGCAGCATCTCTCTTTGGTCGAAGTAATCTGCGACGGGCATAACGTTCTTATAAAAATTGTTGAGCTCCATTTTCGCTAGGCTGAGGACGACGTGACCCAACTTGGCGCCGTAGTCTATCTGACGCTCCAACACCTTCTGTCTCCAGCTCACTAGGATGACCCCGTTCACTACTTGGATCTGAAATCAACACTCAGAATCAGGATTTGTTTCAAGGTCATTATCCTTTATCGATAGCAGCCATGTTATAGCTTCCAAATAGCCTGAAGAGGGAGGGAAGGGAAGGGAAGGAAGAAGATGTTAATAACTATATAATATTGATTAGAAGCATGATATTGGAGCCAGAGGTGGACCTGCTTCTGATTTTATTTTTCTAATGTGGTACGTGATTGTTTTTTGGTTACACTTTAGATGGCACACTCTGTATTTTGAAGTGGTTTTGGTTAGGAAGACAGCAATAATGGAGCAACACCAACATTGCCTGGTGGGTTTAGTTGTTCATTCTCTATGTCCTAGGTTTAATCGAGTTTGCTGTGCCAAATGGGAGACGTACACGTCAGGTGTAGCGTGATGCCGATATTCTATTCAAGATCTTTGACCCTTGCCGTTACATAATTCCTTTCTGATAATTTTGTTGTCCTAAATTTTCTTTGTAGGACGAATTTATAACGAAATAAAAAAGAACCGGATACTTAAGATTTTTCATTTTACGACAATAAAATTAAGTTTGAATTGTGTACGCATTCCATTATTAGTATGCCTATTAGTGGAATGCCTTTCAGAGGTTCTTGCTGCCTCCATCATCAGGGCGATGGTGGACTGATGATGAAGGCAATAAGGACCTCTGAAACATTGGTAAATTCTACCAGATTACCCAGAGCTACAACCCTGAAGACGGACATCTTTCTACACACAGCGTGAGAATCTTAAATAATTTTTAAAATAGAGAAACTGTTGTATTAATTGGGTTTCTGTGAACCGCAAAGGTGCGTCCTTGCGTTGTGATTCGAAGCGAACCCGGATACCGTGGATATCCGCGAATGTCATGAATAAGTAGAAGTGGAGAGACAACAAGGGGAGTTTCTGCAGTTGGCTTGACGTTGGTCAATATCACTTCATCGTGAAATTTTCCGTGGTACTGAATTTGTACAGACGTATTGGAATTGGACGGATTATTTAGATAACAGGGTTTGGTATTGGCGTTGGTAAATCTTAGGGTTCTTCAGTTGCAGTGTTAATTATAGAAGGTGGCATACAGCTTCTATTGTTTAGCTGGTTTGTCTTATAAATCGATAATAGGCTTAGGGCAAAAATTACTGGAGTTGTCTTTCACAAATCTTTGAATAGTAATTTTTTTGTGGAAAAAGAAGAGGGCGTTCTGTTCAGTACTTCCCTTTGCAAGGCTACATTATTATTGATTAAATTCAGGTACTATGAAGCGTGATGTCCGGTAGTAATGTCCAGTATAGGATGGCTCTAGGCCTATGTACGAGTGCTTATAAATCGACCTGTTTATATATGGTCGCCTAGTAACAGGGTACAATATAGACAAAAGACTGTAACATGGTCATGGACAGTCAGCTAAATTTCCTGTAATTTAACTGTTTCAGATCATATCATAAATGAACTTGCCCCTCCTATAAGAGCAAATCTGTGCGTTCTTACCGAAAAAATTATCTCTATCTCTGACTGTACCGTGGGCTGTTAATGTGTAAGTAAAATTAATTAAATTGTTCGTGTGAATTGTGAACTGCATAACGCTGTAGTACAATGTAAATTAGCTGTACATTCGAGGTTCGAATCTCGTATGCCTACCGATGGCCTCTGAGATTTTGTAACCTACTACTTCTGTCGTATCCCTCTTGAGTGTCAAATTCTGTACACTAAATCGCCTATCACTCTCATAAATTACAATGTATGCAGTGAGATGGCTTCCTCTTAACATCTGATCAACATGCCTAGCTTTATATTTTTCTAAACACAAATATCGGATTGTTGAATTTAGAAGTTAAAACAAGAGAGTAGCAACCATGTAACACCATGTACAAAGAAAAGCAAAGAAACAACACAAATCTTCCTTCATTTGCACCTAATTGGCTCTGTTTTGTGAGAAGCGATAACACTCTCACAGTGAAATTTCAAGTTTTGAGATGTCTGTCTCCTGGGATGATAGAGGCAGCAAGTACCTCTGAAGCGCAACAAGTCAGAAGACAGCCATCTTCATACTCGCCGCCGTGAAAACCTCAAATCCACTAAATGATCACTTACCTTTTCCGAGTACTCCACTACGTCTCTCATATTCCTTGGGTATCCAGACACCAGGTACGTTTTGGCGGCCGGCGCCATCTTCATTTCTAACATCAGTACCTCTGTCACCGTCTTGCTAGACAGCTGTCCAAAGTCCTTCATATCTAGGTATGAATAAGATGACTTATTAAGTCAATAAATCGAATTTATTTTTGTGTTAAGTAACAGCATACGGCTATGGAATTGTGGTGGCTACTTCAAATATAGTACAGTGGTTAGTGATTGGCCGTGCGAACTAACTACAGTGCTTCGTGGCTTAGCGTTATTGAGTACTCGTGTCAACACAATAGAAACGGTCTTTTGTTTTATATTGATAGAGCCTACGCAATAAATACATCCATCCATCATTTACTATACCTAAGATATTTATTTGTAAAAGTTTTATGTAACGAACGGGTCTATTCACAAAGTTCGTAAATTGAACGTCGTCAAGGTCTACAGATTTCTATGCATTCTTTGCTTAAACTTTTAAAATTTCAATTTGTTTAGTACTTCGCATTAACCTATGACCTTTACTTCAAACATTTTTTTAGTATAGCGTGTATTTAACGTTTGTGAGATATAAAAGAAAAACAAATACGTAGTAATTTTCTCATTTCCAAATTGCATTATCAGTTCCGCGACAAATTATCTGGTTTTAAGTACTTAATGAAATAGAATTCAGCGTATGGACATCAAGTACCTTTAATCTTGTTTAGTTTTGCCTAAGACAGGCTTGCATGTTCTACATGGCAAATTTTTGGTTTTATTTTCTATCATAATTATTCAGCCCGAATGAAAGGAAAAATCAGGTGGGAAATTGCTACCACCTGAGTGACTATCAGCTTCTGAAGTTGTTTATATGTGTGTGCGTGAAACACGATAATCTTTAAGGTTTAAATTCGAATCTCATTTCCAATGTGACACTGGGTACTCCTATACGCGTTGCAGGACACGAGTAAATCGAAAAGTCATCCATACGAAACCTGACCAACTGTTTCTGGTCTAAATTGTGTCTCGGTGTTAAAATTGAAAAACAGATCTGCACGCTGCTCGCCGGTGCTGATGAGATCAGCGAAAACTGCATTTTTTACTTGATTGACTGCTGTGGAAATTTGTAATAAAACAAGAAAATTATTACTCAGGCACAAGCTTTGCATAGGGTGTATTTTATTATGTGTGTACGAATTATAAGAAAGTAAATATTCAGGCAATGGAAGTTTTGTTTCTTGGTTTTATTTATTTAGGTCTTTCAACCCTGCCATACGAGGTGTTAGCTGTGTAGGCAGCAGAGTTCATAAACCATTGTACTGAAATTTGAAATTAAAGTTGAAGGTTAAACGAGTTAACCACGACATTTGATTAGTCTACATCTAAGTACGTATCGTAATATATTTTGCGAGAACGTAAAGAAATTTATATAACTGTGCTGCGCAATTTGTGGAAATATTTTAACAGCGCTTCCTGTTGTCCTTAACTGAAGACCTACTTCATTCTACGTCTTCGTTATAGTGTGCCATTCTGTGACTTTTTGTTGCTAGTATCATACGAAATATTCATACGACCTCACAGTTTTTTACTTTCCATAAATAATCAGACTGGATTTCTCATATTCGGGCCAAAATGTAAGAACTATGTGTTTGACATTTTCGCTTCACATGATTTACCCAGAATTAAGTTTTGAGTTTACCCGTATAAACAAACAAAACGAAAAAATTGCAAGTGTGATGAATGTGCATTGTTAAATTTAATTAACATTTAGTGGGACAGTGCAAGAATAATCAGGTACTTATTCAACTTGTGTGATAAAATATTTGACTGTGAAATTAACATTAATTTTGTTTATAAAATTGGTACAAGTGTTCTATGGTAATGATAGATTTAATGTGAGTATAACATTTATTTGCTGTACAAAAAAATGACAGTGTTTCGCAAGTGTAACATAAATGGCTGTGGTTTTAACAAATTTTCCTTTCTGAGATGGCTTATGAAAAGATGTCGATGCCACTTTTTCACCTCTATTGCAACGTTGTCAGTGAATATTGGCCCAATATCCTAGTAGTACTTAGTCTGAGCTATAGCAGAACAACTACAAATTTTCGCCTTACTATGCACAAACGAAAAAAAGCAGGGATTTTAGTGCTTTTACATAAATTAATTGAGTGAAATGCGTGCAGCGTGCTGACTGTAGCTGTAAGATAACACGGACCCATATTGGTCTGGCTTGGTACGTGGATGCCTAGCTTAAAATCTCACCGTTACCAATGGCGTACTGTTGCAGGAGGTCTGTCATGTTGATGTGTGTAATTCCTCTCTTCTCCTGCATTAGGTTGTCGCAATGCGTCACCTTACCGCTCCCAGGCCCTCCTGAAATCAAAATATGCGTTACAATTAACTCGAACCCCGAGACGAATGGAACGCTGAAGACCAGGATATGCTTGTGTGAGACATTGTCTTCATTCTACTCGTCCACCGTCTCGAAGAACATACTGCCTCCATCACACCGAAGATGAAGGAAATGCTTTTCTTTGAAATTCTGGTATCTATCGACAGGACCACGTGTCGTTACTACACAGAAGACCGACATAGACAATTCTGTGTTTGCAGATGTGTTATCTTACCCAGGACAAATATAACTGGCACTTTTGGTACTTCGAATTTGACATGGCCACCGTTATGCATGGGGAATTGGCCATCTGGCGGTGTGGTTGCAAAGCGTGGGTCCTCTTCTTCTTGTCCCCACGCCATTCGGCCCCCGTGGTGCTGACCCTCGAAGACCTGCGATCCATTCTGCTGCTCTGTTGGCAACCGGAAACACACTGAATATTATCGCTGTCTGTAATGCAGTTTGCCGGTACTTACAAGGGCAATATTCGTATAATGGACGAGTTTGGAACGAACTGTAAGAACTAGTATGGCGAGAGTTAAGGAAATGGCATAAGAACTGACCGTGGTTTAGATACAGATGTGCTGGCATTCATTTTTATGGGCTGAGGAAAATCACGAGACACGTTTAAGAGGATAGCACGTTTGACCAGCATTCGAAACACCTCCGAATTATAAATCAAGGATTATTTATATTAGATTGGAACATGCTGTCTGACATAAGAGGTGCGATCGGAAAGTTTACAGACTGCGCCTATAAAAACCCGTACACTTATCTCAGGTATTAAATTCATCCATCACCCTCGAAGTAGTTCCCCTGGGAGTGAACACAACGATCCCAGCGCCGCTGCCAAGCCTGGAAGCATCCCTGGAAATCTTTCTTTGCCAGCCTGTCAAGCACCATCTGCGATTCTGCCTGAATCTCTTCTATCGTCTCAAATCTCATTCCCTTTAGCTGAATTTT